CTGCTTCATATGAAAGCTTCGTGTAAAATTCTGTGGTAGTGACTTATGGGACATTGGCACACTATTTATAGTTGAAAATTTTAGTGGATGAGTTATAGTAAAATTGTGATGGAAAATCGTATTTGTCACATTTGATAAAATTGAATTGCTAGTAAACAAAGACAATGTGACATGTGTACAAAATACTTATCACTACAAAAAGGTGGTTGCAACTTGACTTTAAATAGAATACTAAAAACAAAAATAACAATTATCCATTATTGGCTATCTATCCCAATTAACTTTGATTTTGAAAAAAATAATAATAATAATAAATTACAATTTAAGGCAAAATTTTTCGATCTCGATAACTTGGGTCTCGCTTATCCAAATTGACTTTTTCTTGTGCCTAATTTACATGATTAAAAACGAGTTATCCAACGAGACCCATATTGATATACTTTCAGTCGCTTTAACAATATATAAAAAATGCAGCCCAAAATCGAATTTAATACATATATCACTTTAGTTCCTCAATTTTTGTTTTTAAAAATAAAATATGGTATATATAACAAATAAATTTTTATTTTAAAATTTTCGGGGTATTACAATTCATTTTTATGATATATTTCAACCTTTTTAATTTTATGGAACTGAAAAAGTTTGTCAATAGATTATTTTGCTAAACGAATGATTGCGAAATATAGGATTTACTTTTACGGTGCTTGTTCGCATGGTGAACGAGATTTTTCTGATGTTGCTTAGCCTGATTTGTGGGATAAGTGATTCAATTTTAATCTTATTCTTTGTTTTTTGTGTATGTAAAGAAAATGAAGCTTCTCTCTCTCTTTTATGACGATGTATGAGACTGGCTATTAGAAAGTAATATTTTTGTTATTCTTGGACAAGATTGTTCAATGTTTTCTTGATTTATTCTTTTATACTTGCAGGTGAGAATTTTAGCAGTAAATGCCTCATACTTTTTGAAACCGGGAGGCCATGTCGTTATATCAATCAAGGTTTGTGTTATTGATTCTCATATAACTTCAAGTATGAGTGTCTTCATTTGCAATAGAGCATTTTTGTATTCTTTGAACTGCTAAATTAGATGAAGATTGAAAATGATTGGGCTAAACACAAGTTTATATGTAAATGAGGATGCTAATGGGACTAAACAAAAGATATAAAATAAGCAAAATGAAGGAACCATACATGAATCTCTTTGTATCGGTCTTCTACACTCTCAACTGTTTTTTCACACCTGCCTTTTAAGTACAAGAATTTGTCTTGAAAGTGCTAAAATCATTTAAATTTTTTTTAGTTGAATCCAGTTATTTGAAATAACGAAGTTGAAGGA